AGGCATATGTGTCCAAAAAATGTACATAAGTCTAAGGTACTTTGGAAGGATATTCTAACAGGACAATGGAAAGGTCCTGACCCAGTGATTGTCTGGAGTCGGGGTTCTGTTTGTGTGTTTCCACAGGGAGAACAGCAGCCGATTTGGATTCCAGAGAGACTAACCAAAGTGATTTCTACAGACCAAAAAGAAGATGATTTGACTCAAATCCATAACAGCTGATATCCAGAGCTCCAGCTTGGCTATTCTTACATCTGCGACAGTGATTAACCAGGATGCTTTTTTCAATATCTATTTTATTATTGCCTTTTCCCACATCATAAAGTTCTATTTTATTTTTTGAGCTCATACAGACCGAGGTTAATGTTTTTCTGATCAGTTTTATTTTTTGACTGTGGAGTTTTTAAACATTGCAATGGAGATTTCACCTGTGAAAAGCTACAAGGCCTTTACTATTGTCTTATGTGTTGTACGTTTGTGTGCACACTTGTGTTTTGTGTTGTATGTCTGTGTGTGCATATGTCCATATATCATATATGAGGAGCGCTCATGAAAAAGTGGATCCGAATTTTTTTTTATTCACGTGATTTTAATGGTTTAATTTAAATTGGGTAAACAGCTGTTGAGGATTGTTTTAATATGTGAACAAAAAGGAGGTTAACAGATCTGTTTGTTTACTTTCACCTTTCCTTTTCATTATATTTAATAATTCTGTTCAGGATAATGTAAATTGTTCAGAAAATTGTTTTCTTAGCACCTGTTGGAATGTTACATAATTTTTTTTTAGCCATTGTTGCCAGAATTCCTATCTTCATCCCAGTGCCGGTGAAGACAAAGATAAAACCAGACTACAGCTTCTATGATAGCTATCACAACAAACTGTAAAAACTGATACATCAATGAATAATAACTCAACAAGTGATGCTCAATCAATGAGTCGATTTACTTTGGGAGGAAATGGACATATTGATAGATTCCTCCGCTTTGAACTGCTTGCAGAACTTGCCTGGACTATGTATCACTTGTATGCATTGTGGTCTATCTGTTGATGCAGCGAATTGTGGTAGTGCTGGCGTATCTTTGCAGATGGTGTCATCGGTGGTACAATTTTTCCAAAAACAGCCGTCATTTGGCTTGGTGTCGTGGCATTTCTGCATCCTCCTCCCTTCTGCTAGTAATGGTCTAAAATTTGGGGGCCAACAGAGGTGAGGCAAAGAACCTCATCCCCCCACTGGTGCAAAGGCCAAATTTGGGGGCCAACAGAGATGAGGCAAAGAACCTCACCCCCCCCACACACTGGTGCAAAGGCCTATCCACAAGTATGGCTGTGCTTATTGTTTAATTAAACAGAAGGGGGGAGATGTTGAGGGCCACAGCCAAGTCGAAATGACGCATGGCATTTTTGCCAGAAGTAGTGGTTGAGAGGTGACGCCAGCGAGTTCTCGCGGAGTTCCCGTTGAGTTCCAATTGAGCTCTCGTGGGGATTCCTGGAGAGTTCCCGTTGGTTGGGAAAGTGCCGGAGGAGGTATATTTCTGGCTGCTGGTTCCTGGAAGAGCCATGTGGCATTCAAGAGAATTCCCGGGGAGCGTGTGTGGAGTGTGCTGGTGGAGTTCAGAAATAAAGTTTGTTCCTGCTTCAGTGGCTCGTGATTTCTACGCAGACAGACTGCGGCACACACACACCCCTGGAGGGGGAGCTCAGGCTGCTGTTCCACTGGAGCCAACTGGGCTGCACACACACATACACACACACACACACACACATTCCTGGATGAGCTCAGGCTGCAGTTCCACTGGAGCAAACTGAGCTGCACACACACACACACACACACACACACACGGAGAATCTCAAACTGTTTTTCCGCTGGAGCCAACTGGGCTGCAAACACACATGCACACACACACACACACTGCCCTGGAGGAGGAGCTCTCGTTGCTGTTCCACTGGAGCCAACTGAGCTGCACACACAAACACTGTCCTGGAAGAGGAGCTCAGGCTGCTGTTCCACTGGAGCCAACTGAGCTGATTACACACACACACACACACACACACACCTGGGGGAGCTCAGGCTGCTGTTCCACTGGAGCCAACTGGGCTGCACACACACACACAATATCCTGGAGGAGCACCTCAGCCTGCTCTTTCACTGGAACCAATGAGCTGCACACACACACACACACACACACAGACACACACACACACACTACTGGAGGAGGACCTCAGGCTGCTGTGCCACTGGAGCCAACTGAGCTGATTACACACTGCCTTGGAGGAGGAACTCGGGCTCTCTGTTTCTCACAGTTGCAGGTTTTCTCAGAGTGGACCTGGAGTGGACCTGGAGTGTCCCCAGTTGCTGGGACACTCCAACTCCAGGTCCACTCACAGAAAACCTGAGCCTCTCCATGGTGATGTGTGTGCAGCTCGGTTGGCTCCAGTGGCACAGCAGCCTGAGCTTGGTCTCCAGTGTAGGAGAGTCCAGAGGGGGGCTTTGGGAAGTGTTTGGTCCTTAGGCTCCAACCTCACCAGTGGACTGACCCATCGATGGCTGTCTGGACCCCAGAGCTGTGGAGACTGTGCGACGTGCGTAGCTGTCCGAAGGAGTGGAAACCAGGGCTCACCTGGCCCCGGCCCCTCCCTCCCTCCTCCTCTCTCCCTTGCTCCCTGCTTCCCCACCACCATGTGCCCAGCAGCCTCCTCTGCCCCACCCATCCACCAAGTCGGCCTTCCCTCGGGCCCAGAGCAAAGAGTAGATGGCCAGGGACAACATCCCTTCAAACCGTGAACCCAAACAAACTTTTCCTCCTCTAGGTGATTTGCCAGGTATTTTGGTCACAGTGATGAAGCCGACTGACATATAGGGCACGGCCACTGAGCCCGAGACATCCAGCAGGAAGCAGCCATGGCCACTTCATCCTTCTGCCACCCCCACTCAGAAATCCAGGGAACAGCTGTGCCCCTTCCTGGCTCCTCCCAGACCTTCCTCTGCACAAACCCATCTCCCCTCCCCCCATCTGAACAGGGGATTCAAATGTTTTGGCTTTCATGAAACAAACCTCAGGAAAACTGGTCTGCTGGTTCTGCCCCCTGGCCACCCAGGGCCAACCCTGAGACCTGAGGCCCAAGTCTGCATCCTCAGCTCCACGTCACCCAGCCCCTGTCCAGAGCAGGCCACAGCTGGCCATCCCAGGGGTGCGAGCAGGAGAAGGCTGCGGAAGTTCTCTCCATTCCCGCCAGCACCCAGCCTCTTGGGCACCACTGACCGGGAACACCCGAGTCTGCCGCTCGCCAGAGCTGCACCGCCTGACGGGGCTGCCTCTTTTAAAACCTTTACTCTGAAACCCTGATGCTCCCTACTGGTGACTGCTCCCTTGGACAGCACAGCCCATCTCTACTTCTCTCCTGCAGACCCCAGACGCTGCCCCTGACCCCGTTGCCCCTCTCTCTCCAGGTCACTCACAGGAAACACTCAGTTCACTACACAGGATCCCAGTCCCCAGGCCTCCTGGAGCCACCCCTGCTCCAGGACACAGGGTGGTCACTCTGGAGACTCTGCCCTCCAGGTCTTAGTGCAGGCCTCCTGGTCCACCCTCTCCCTAAACAGCTGTCCTGTCCTGGGCTTCCTCAGTGTGGACACCCAAGATGGGTGGCAGGGCCAGCACTCTCGGCAGGATGCCAGACACTGGGGGGGAAGCCAACAGGGTGGCATCAGGCGGCAGTGAGGGAGACCAGAGCCGTTTTCCACAGACACCTCTCTATCAGCTTTCCACGGGTCGCTTCAGACCAGACGTGTCCTGCTTCAGCTTACTTCCCCACGGTTTGACGGACATCCTCAACACAGCACATGGGGCCACCGTCTCCTTCAAGGCCGCTGGCGGAACCGTTCAGCTCCTAGAGCCAATGTGCAGAGGAAAACTGCTTCCACAACGGCTTTCCTCGTGAAGGGCACACACGATCCATCTTTCTACCAAATACCTGTGCAGCCGAAAGAAGAGAGACCCTGCTCAGATGCAGAGGTGCGCCCCGCCCTGCCAGGGGACTGCGGTACAGGAAGGGCTCCTGGGAGCGGATCTCCCAGCTGCTCCCCCAAGACACAGCCTTCAGGCACCGTCCTGGGAGTGCAGAGACAGTATCCCCACCTGGACCTGGACCTCCCAGCTGCACACACAGAAATGAACTCCCGCACCCAGCCTTAGGAAGGTCTTGTTATGCACCTTGAAATGGACTAAAACAGGGCCCTGTGGGGTTCCTGTGTCAGGCCTCCATCAGTGGGCACCTGACAACATACCAGAAGTCAGAATCTCAGCTTTTCAAACAGTATTGCACTCGCTCCATCCTCGGAGAACAGCAAGGCAATGTACAAACCATTTTAGAAATTAGCTGAGGTTTTATGCAAAGATTAGCTCAACACAAAAATCAAAACAGATTCTCAATAAATGTCAACTAATTATACCCTGATCATAACTGACCTTTATTGAAGAATGAACATTCTTATGATTCAAAATCAGATATTTTAAGAGTGATATACCTAATAGTGATTGACATGGAAGTGTTTTCATTTAAAATAGCTAAAAGGGCAGCCGTGGTGGTGCACACCTGTAATCCCAGCGACTTGGGAAACTGAGGCAAGAGAATCACAAGTTCAAAGCCAGCCTCAGCCACTTAGCTAGACCCCAAGCAACTTAGCTAGACCCTGCCTCAAAATAAAAAATAAAAAGTGTTGGAGATATGGCTCAGTGGTTAAGTGCCCCTGAGTTCAACACTTGGTACCCCCACCCCCCCAAATATTTTTATTTATAAAATAAAACAGCAGGGTTGGGGGATATAGCTCAGTTGGTAGAGTGCTTGCCCTGCATGCACAAGGCCCTGGGTTCAATCCCCAGCACTATAAATAAATAAACAAACAAATAAATAGCTAAGAGGCATACAGACATCTATAAAATATTCATCTCACCTAGGAAACAAAAAGGGTAAAAGTAAGCTTCCAGACTCACTGCCAGAATTAAGATTTCAGCACAGACAGGTTTAATAACAAGTAGTTGACTAACAGATTGTAATTCTAAAGTTGCACAATAAAAATTTTCCTAATTTTTTTTTCTTTACAAAAAATAATTAACTGATGAATTAACAATAGAAATTAATAATAACTTCAGAAAAAAAGGCACATAGAGGCAAAACAGTGGAGCCACCTATGAGCCAGTGCCTCGGTCCTACTGTGCACAAGTGCAAGACAGTCATGCCAGGAACTTCCGCAACAACAGGAGCCTGAGCCAACAGGCAGACAGGAGGACACTGCTCCTTGCTGACGGCACTCCGGCTGACACCAGCGCACACTCCCTCCAGAGGTCGTCCCAGAGCTGCTCAACACCCAGCATGGTCAGAGACTGGACCGCCTCTCCGATCTTGGCACACATTTTGTAATTGCAGCTCTCCACAGCACAGGGGCCAGCAGAAGGCTGAGTGTGGTCACACTTAGTATAAGGAGGTACACCTGCAACACAGGTGAGCACAGCACATGTCACAGTGAGCTTTAAGGGGATCCCCACATGGGTGCGAGGCTGGGCAGAGTCACACCCAGCACTACAGGGACCTCTGCAAACCAAGCGCTCTCTATCTTCTCAGGGCACCTCAAGTAGAGCCACAGGTGAGGACATTGGACACGGGAAGAAAGACTCCAGGCACTGAGCCTCTGCTTACGTGAGGGTGAGCCCCACGGGCCACCTGAGTCACACCAACTTGCCCAATGTCCCTGGGGCAGTTCCGTTTTTCTAGTACACTCTGAAGGAAGACTCCTGTGCTCCTCACACTCAGGGGACATCAGACGCTTGATTCTGACCTCACGGCAGCCTTCAGTGGGTCAAGTACAAGGCTTAGGCCTCTTGTGTGCTATTCCTGCGCATCCAGCAGCTCAGCCTCAAGGGCAGGATCCTGCTGCCCATTCCCAGACAGATCAGCAACGGTCAAAGGCAGCAGTTCAGGAAGTGCGACCTGGCAATTCACCTGAGACGCCACACGTGCTGGGGAGGAGTGACCCCGGAGATCCCCCAGCACAGACAGGAGCGTGGTGAAAGAGCTGCTGGCGCCCTCTGCACCAGGGACTTGTGGGCTGAAGTGCTGAACCTGCTCCCCAGGCTGACGCCTGAGGGACAGTAACCACTCACCTCCCGGGAGATGATGCCTGCTCTCCGCGCCCGGCTCCCCAGGACAAAGGAGAACTCGCTGACCTGGGCCAGCCCTGCAGAGATGATCCACTTCATGTACTGGCTGCTCTTTGGCAGGATGAGAGACAAGACCAGTGCTGCCAACACAAACTGCAAGAGCACAGCTCGTGTTACTAAGCCCAGTGACATCTCACATTCAGCCGGCATGGTGGCATGTCTCTAATCCCAGAGACTGGGGAGGCTAAGGCAGGAGGACTGCAGTCTCAAAGCCAGCCTCAGCCATGGTGAGGCCCTAAGCAACTTAGTGAGGCCCTGTCTCTAAAAACCAAAAAGGGCTGGGGATGGGGTTCAGTGGGTAAGTGCCTCTGGGTTCAATCCCCAGTAACAAAAAATTAAAACACAGAACTAGATGGGAAGCATCAAAGGCTGCCACAGCCTCGAGTGGCCAAGCAGGGTGTACTAGAGGCTCTGTGGTCCCCAGAACACAGCAATGACACAAGCTGCCGCAAGGCTAGGCAGCCCATGAAGGTGAAAGAGGAGGCTCAGGTTTACTAGCAGAAAGTACACCTTTCCCCAAACCAAATCAACAGCATTTAAGGTTGAGTAGCGTCGAAGATGGAGAGGCTTTGATTAAGAGAGGGGGCACCTCTCTCAGTGAGCAGCCCAGCAGCCCAGTGAGGCTGCTCTGCCACCATCTGATTCTGCACCCAACTTGCACAGGACGTTATGAAATATCAACAAGTGACCCAGAGAACAGATGCGGGAAGCCTGGTCAACTCCCGGCATTCGCTTCTGAGTGCGTCTGCCTCTGTCAGAAGGGGCCTGGGGTCCTGCAGACCCATCCCCAGCGAGACCACGTCAGCAGAGCCTCACAGGAACTCGGATGGGTGCTCCCCACCTCACCCTCCAGCAACTCCCCCGTGTGAACCCCTCCATTTGGAGGCAGGCTCCAGGTCACCCTGCGTCTGTCCCAGCGGGCCTCCCAGGGAGTGAAGTACAGCAAGAGGTGTCAGTACCTTCATGACCACCACCGACAGGGTGAGGAACACCAGCACCGTGAGCTCGTATACCACGAAGGTGGGGAACACATGCAGCCCTGCGGGAGACAGCCCAGGTGAGCCCAGGGATGCCTGGGCCCAGCCAGCCCTTGACTCTCCCCTTGCTCCAGCAGGACAGAGCTGCAACCTAAGTCCCCTGACCACACTGGACCGAGCCCTCTCCCTCTCCCAGAGAGAGGGAATAGGGTGACCACTCCACTTCCTGCCACACGGGGGGTGGGGTCCCTGCACGGGCCTTCCCAGACCTGGGTGTGTGGCCCTGCCTCTGCAAGTGGGCACCCGGACCCAGGGGGGCCACAGTCCTGTGTGTACCGCCAGCCCCAGTCGGGCTGCCCCTGCTCATCCCCTGAGGCCACAGGGAGGTCTTCCTGACACCTCCCTGCTCCACACTCCTGCGCAGGCTGCTGCTGTGCACTGCCCAGGGACGGCCAGGGGACAGGCGGCAGCAGGGCGTGAACTCCAGCTCCACCTGCGGGCAGCCTCACCATCCCCCAAGGGGGGCACTGTACCCAAGACCTCGGGAGTCAAGACCCACAACCCACCTGGGTCTCCTTGGAAGTGCATCGTGAAGGTCTCCTCCCTCCTGAAACCCAGAGATGCCTCCCCCACCCCTGGGCTGCACTCTGCTGACAGCACACCCAGGCCCGGTCCCAAGCCTGTCCCCGGGGCCCTGTGTGCACTGGCTGCTCCCGCTCTGTAGGACCGGGATGGGCGCTGTGGTCTGCTTTCCCCCAGTGCCCCAGCTCTGCCCAGAGCCTCTCCACCCCCAGGATGCCTGGGCTCCTGCCTCTGGCTTGGTGAACACCCTGGCTTCTGCCTGGCTGCCGCAGGCTTCCCTGCCAGACCCTGTCCCAGGCAGGCCCAGCTGTTGTGGACGCTGTCCAGGAGGCAACACCTCCTGGTTGGCACCCTGCCCTGCATTCGGCTCACGACATCAGCATGGCAGCACTGGGGATCATGAGAAATTGGGACCCTGCCACTGGGTGTCACATCACTCTCGCTCGACTGGCAGGAAGGCAAGCAAGCCAGGCCACAACTTCCCATCTGGTGTCACTGACTCTCATGACAAACACCAAACACCATGTGTGCCACAGGGGACCCATGACTCTGCCCAGCCTGACCCTCCACTTCCTAACTACACCGCTCAGCCTCTCGGGCCCGGCGTCTTCCACGTGGGCTTGTGGGGTGGATGAATACCACCCTCAGGGTCGCTGCGCCAGCACCAAGGCCACAGACATCCAGGTGGGCAAGGGCCTGGGTGCTCAAGCCGGGTCCCCCCAGGAAGTGACAAGCAACCACGAGACACCTCTCCGTCCCACCAAAACCTGCAGGGCCTGCTCCGGAACCCTCTTATGCCCCAGGGAGGTGGGTCAGGCAGGGGATGAAGTTATTGCTGAAAATCTCCTAAGAATGAGCGCCGAATCGTTGGCAGGAAGTGGCCGTGGCAGTGGAGCAGCAGGCCGGCAGCCCACTCCACAGAGTTCGGGTGGCCAGGGCTTCCCGCCTCGTGGGCCATGCGGTCTGCACTGCCCCAGGCCCCAGACTGAACGGAGTCTCACACTCCAGCTGGGGCCCTACCCGGGGTGTCTGGAGGTGAGGCCTGAGGACGTAACCAGGTGACCGAGGGGGGTCACTCACTGGGCTGTGGCCTTGGAAGAGGAAGAGAGGCAGGGGAGCACATACGCCCTCATAGTAAACTGTCTGTCAAATAAAGCTTAGTTAACAGTTAAAAAGACAGAGAGACACTTAGAGAAAGAACGAGACCCCTGTGGCTGGAGCAGCCCAGTCCAGGGGCTCTGTCAGGACAGCCCAAGCTGACCACCACAAGCACAGACGCACCCTGAGTCCCTCACAACGCGGGGGAGGCCAGGCAGGGCGCAGCTCGCCCTGTCCAGGGACGGACCCAGGCTCCAGAGCCGGAGCTCCACACCCACGGGCCCTCTTCCCAGTGCCTTCGCAGCCTGGTCCATCTCCTCAGAACCTGCCCCGCGGAGGGGGAATGGCAGGGTCCACTGCACCTGCCGAGCGGGTGTCACAGGTGGGCCCTGAGTGCAGAAGCACAGGCGGGAGGGCCAAGGGAAAAGGACCACAGAGCCACCGTCGGGCCTCTCCATGGCCTCCCTGCTCTGGGCCCATTTCCCGGGAACCGAAGAGCGCCAGCTCCCCAACCCCACTGGCCAAAGGTCTCCCTCCCCCCTGGTGAAAGGTTGGGCTCCTCTGCTTCTCCCTGGGACGGAAGTGGCTATGCCTGGCCCCTCACATGTCCACGTACAGCTCCAGGTCAGTTTCCACATCTCCCTGGGGCAGCGGGACCTACGGACCCACAGAGACTGCACAAGTGTCGTGGACAATAATCACCAAAGGGAGAGAGGCCAGGGACATGGCAGGGCTTCAGCAGCCCAGGCAGCCCTGTCAGTTGAGCCACTGGAGGTCCCAGAGCAACCCCCTGGACATGATGGGTTTAGTCTTAACAACTCACCTAGGGGAAGGCCCATAGAGTTCCTGGGATTTTCAGGGTGCTGGGGCGGTGAGCACAAAGCTCACCCCTGCAGGCTGCGTGGGGACAGCAGGAGATGGCCCTCCCAGACCTGTAACCACCACGGTACCTGCAGACAAGCAGACGTGCATGGGCACATCTTTCTGCCTGTCTCCCCCTTTCTTTTTGGTCTTAGTTGTAGTTGGACACAATACGTTCATGGTATTTGTTTTTATGTGGTGCTGAGGATCGAACCCAGGGCCTGACGCGTGCTAGACAAGCGCTCCACCTGAGCCCCAGCCAGCCTGTCGCCTCCCCCTTTCTACGTCCGACTTCCTTCAGGCTCTGGAGAGACTGCTCACACACCAACGCTCGTGGAAGTATCCGCAAGTGCTTAACAACAGTCACGACCAACAGCAGGCACGTTACCTATCGAGGCGAAGAAGACGATGGCCAGGAAGTCGCGGATGGGCTCAAGGTAGGCCATGACCTCCTCAGTGACCATGTGGCCTTGGGAAGAGACCAGAGCTCCGGCCAGGAAGCAGCCCAGCTCCATGGACACGTCCAGCAGCTCTGTGACCTAGGTGACAGAGGAGACAACGTCTGACGGGAACACAGCACCGACTGTTGGGCCGTTCACATGCAGACACACCGCCAGGTGCACGGTGAGGATGGCACTGCCCCGCACGGCAGCTCAGACACGGGCTTCCCGGCGCCTAACTAACACAGGTAGGGAAGCTTCACGCAGACGCTGTGGGACTTCTGGACAAAAGAACTTTCAACATTTGTTTTTAGCATTTGTGATTGCATTTCCTTTACCTGAAACAGTGAACAGCCGGACTGTGACACTAGCAGATGGATTCCTGTCACCAACCTCCAGCCACAGGAGAAGACAGACACCACTCACCAGGGCCCTGAAGAGGAGTGCCCACAGAGCTCGGAAGGGTGCAGCAGCAGGCCGCCAGAGCAGGGTGCACCTGGCTACGAGACGGGAAGCTGGGACAGCCTTGGCGAGAGGCGCGGCGGGACTCCCGCACGGGAGCAGGCCCAGCAGACGGCCAAGCTGCAGGCACACACCTCCCCACAGCCCGACGGCCTGGCACAGCACCAATCAGACGTGTCAGGGCTAGACACCACACTGCCCCGTGGGATGACCACACAGAATCCTCCGGGCCCACAGCCACCAGAGATGAGCACAGGAGGCAGATCCAGGCATGGTGGGAGCAGAAACGTGCTCACCACACAGGCACGCACAGCACACACAGCCACGAGGCGCACACACACACACAGCACACGAGCGCTCCCCCACACACACAGGCTCACGCTCTCAAACACGTGCCCACCACACAGCAGGACGCCCACAGCCACAATCCATGATGACGGTCACGGGTCGACACGCGTCATCCAGGGCAGGCGCATCAAGTCCCTGAGCAGCGCACACCCAGCACTGAGCTCTCAGAGGGCCATGGAGCTGGAGGACAACACAGAGCCTCTCATGACCTGCTAAAGAAAACACTCGACAACTAACGCTGGAGTGCAGCTCATCTATCAGCAAACCCACCAACACGAGTGTGCACAGGTAGGGCACGGCTGCAGAGTGGCCAGGGCAGGCATGAGGCACAGACACCTCCACACCACAGATGAGGCCAGCACACAGAGCAGAGACAGCCACACTGGGCCACACGTACGTCCCCACAGATGTGGAGGAAAATCACAACTGCAGAGAGAAACAACCCAAAGACTTCAACAGGTGCCCACACAGCTCTGCCGTGCCAGAGCAGGTGCCCAGACAGCTCCCTGCCTCCCAGCTCCCGGGCACCCCAGCAGGTGTCCAGATGCTCTCCAGTACCCCAGCAGGTGCCCAGACACGCCAGCACCCCAGCAACTGTCTAAACGGCTCCCTGGTGCCCCAGCGGGTGCCAAAATGGCTCTCCAGCACCCCAGTGAGTGTCTGCATGGCTCCCCGGTGCCCCCAGCGGGTGCCTGCACAGCTCCCCAGTGCCCCAGCAGGTGCCCAATGGCTCTCCAGTGCCCCAGTGGGTGCCCGCATGGCTCCCTGGCACCCCAGCAGGTGTCTGCTCGGCTCATTGGTGCCCAGTGGGTGTGCAACATCAGCAGTCCTGAGGACAACGGAGATGCAGGTGTCAGCAGAGGACAAAACCAGAGAAACAATGCCACGTGGGTAGGGACGCGGCATGGCCAGCTCCCACTGGGGGACACTGGTAGCAGTCCCTCTGGGAAACCTGCAGTGATGGCGTCAGTTGTGCTCTGGGACCGACCAGCAGCTCCACCTCCAATCTGTGCTCATCCAGAAGAGAACCCTGCTGAACAGCACGCAGCTGGACTCACCGCAGCCCCAGTGGCACAAACCCCGCCCCGCAGCAGAGTGGCTGTGCACTCACCTAGTGCAGCCCGCGGGAAGCTCCCCCAGGACCCCTGGGCTGCACCTCAACACTGAGCACCTGGCGGCAGGAGCCCAGCAGGTGCTGTCCAGATGGCCAACGAAGGAAGAAAGCCAGCCAAGGGCAAGGCAGGACGAGAACCGTGTAACCTGGATGTGGGCACCGGGAGGCAGCATGGAGGAGCCCAGAGCAGACAGCCCAGCGACAGGTTGAGAGGACAGAGCCCTGGATGCACAAGGCAGTGGAAAGCAGCCAGTCACAGCCACACGCGTGCTAGGCAGGGGCCCCATGGCGTGTGCCACGAAGCCTCCAGCACAGAGCGGCACCGCGAGCAGCTGCCAGCACACATGAGCTCGGTCCCCTCCCCGAATGACAGCACACAGTGCGCATGAGCAGGTGAAGCTGGCTCTCACCTGTGACCCTGAAGCATGCTGTGCTCACGGGAGGCTCTGAGGACGAGGGCAGTGCCGCAGCAGCACCTGAGCCTGCAGCGCAGACCCCGGGCGCCCTCCGCCACTCCTGGCTGCCCTGACCCTCCCTCATGTCCAAACCGTCGCTGCCCGCCTGCTACTTAAACACTCTGGGGCAGTATGCAGCCCAGCTCTCCGGCAAGCCCCAGGCTACACATAGCAGCAGCTGGTGGGCCAGACAGGGGCTCCTGGGAGCGGCCTGTCATTCACCCTAAAAGACATCAGGACAGTTTTTGGCTACTTCAAGTGAACCTGTCGTGGACACTCCTGCACCATTTCTAAGTGACTGGTCTTCTCTTCAGCAAGATGAACCCTGAGGCAGCAACTGGGTGACCTTGACGGTGCAAGTGCTGCCTTGCTGTCCCCAGTAGACCCAGGGAGCCCAAGGGAACCCTCCCACAACTCCCTCATATTGAGGAGAAGCCTGGGCTGAAAGTGGCCTGGAGACCCTCCCCACTTGGGCCAGGAGATGAGACTGGCCTGCCTCATCATGCCACAAGGCTATTAGCTGCCCAGCTGCTCGGGTGCTGGCAGGGCTCAGGACAGCGGCCTGGCCAGACGTGCACAAGGCTTTTCGCAAGCTCAGAGGTGGCCAATGCAGCATGCACTGACCACACCTGCCAGGAGTGAGCATGGAACCAGCAGGTTCAGGCCCAGCACCGTGAACCACATGAAATAAAGACGTGCGTTTTAGACATTTCAATCACAACTCAAATGAAACGGCCAACCACAGGCTTCTAGTGAGAGTCCGCGGGCCCCAAGGACACGGCTGGGGTGAGAGTTACCGTCAGCATTAGGAAGATGAAGGCAGACACGCCCAGGACGAGAACCTCCTTGTTCCCTTTGCTCTCCACGTGCAGCTTCCGGCAGAAGGGTCCTATGAGGTACGTCTTTAGGAGGAGACACAGCAGACAGACCGCAGCCAGGGAGAAGAGGGTCTGGCCAGCCAGGAGCAGCGTGCGCAGCACTCCCACGACCACGCTGGAAGGGAAAGAGCACGTTACTGCACCCACGCCCAGGGGACGTCTGCCATCTCTCCTCCTGTGGCACGTCACAGAATAAATGACCAAGTCACACACACAACCAAGGACTAAAATGAACCTGCGACCTGTACGAATGTGCGTCAGATCCAAGTCAGACGTGGGCAGTTTGCAGTCAGCACTGGGACACTCGAGTCTCCCAGGTGTGAGGACCCCGGAGGGATGACGACCCTCCTCCCAGCAGTCAGCGCCCGGGCTCTCAGCAGGCGGCCCGTGACCCCCAGGAGAGCACTGGTGACCTCCAGCAGCACGTCCCAGTGCCCAGTCATACTCCTGAAGCTGACACCTAACACCCGGGTGCAGGACAGGGAGTCCTTACCAAGTGCTTCAGAGACAGTGGGGGCCTGTGGTCACTGACACTTAGCCCAGAGCTTCCACAGAAAGCCACCAGGGGACAGTGGCAGGGTTCAGACCTCACTGTTGCTAGTCAGGACAAGCCTCCTCCAGGCCTGCTCAGAGAGGAGACCGTCCCATCACAAGAAAGGGCCTGTCCCTGCAGTCCAGCTGGCACCAGCACTGGACGCCAGGCTCAGACTGCTGCACAGTGACCTGGGAGGCCAGAAAAGAGCTGGGCTCGAAGCAGGAAAGACAACAGAGACCACTCTGTGAGCCCAGGGAGCCCTCTGCAGCTGCCCCTCCACGGCTGCCCAAGGGCTGCTCCACTGCCCCAGTCCTGACCGATCTTCCCCACCACCAGCCTGGCTGGGACCCGCCCTGGGCAATGCTCTCAATGCTCCAAGACCCTGTCCCGACCCATGGCTCTGCACAAGAACCAGCTCCCCGCACAGGAAGCCACCCTCTTCACCAGCCTGCCTCCCCTCGGCCTGCCAGCCACACAGGGCCCCCAGGCGCAGCCTATGCGCCAGGCCCCTCAATGGATGCCACCCAAGCCCTCCTCCCCGGCTGGCCAGCTTAGTTCTCAGGCCTCCGTCACAGGCTGGCTGGTGTAGGTCTCAGGAGGGTGCCGCTCTCACAACATTGCCACCCCACCTCAGTCCTCTGCAGGACACTTGCCGGGGGTGGCTGACCCCGGGACATCCATTCACCCTCCCTCCAGACACGGGCACCTCCCTCCCTGAGCAGCATCTCTCTCCTTTCGCCCCCGCCCCAGGAAGTGGGTGTAGCCCCGACCCACCATCTGTCTGACCGATGAGAAAGGGGTGGCACTGGGAAGACGCAGAGCCAGCTGCAGTGCCCGGGTGGAGCACCAGCCACAGCTCTGCAATGTCCATCCACGGGACTCAGCTCAGGCCGCCTCCTGATCGCCACGAGCCACCGTGAGCAGGAGGCCCAGTGCAGAGCCAGCCTGTGTGGCGCCAGCCTCTCCCAGGACACTCTGCTCAGAGCTGTGAGGACCGTGAGCTGCACACCAAGGGAAGCGGGAGCATCGCTCCTTCCCTTCCCCCGATGCACAGTGCTCTGGGAAGTGCCTCCCTCTGCTGGGGCCGGGCGGGTGCTCCCTCATGCAGGCGCACCCCAGTCCCACCCCAACACTGGGAGCTACTGCCAAATGGCATCACCCACCCTCTTTATTCTGCGATGCTGGGATGGAACTGGGGCACTCCACCGCTGAGCTATGTCCCAGCCTGTTCTACTAATGTTGAGACAGGGTCTCCCCAAGGCCCAGACGGCCTCCCCAGGAGCTGTGAGCAGGAGGGCCACCTAATGCTCTGGCTGCAGGCTGCAGGAAGGAAGTGCTGTCGGCTTCCAGGGCACTGTCACAACTCCTGCCATCGGGTCCTCATACCTCGTCCCCACTCTCCTGTCAGCGCACAGGAGATCTTTATGACTAGATACACAACCCCCTTTCTTCCATGAGAGTATTAACGACTTTCCCCCATGTTATGGGAAATTCTTTTTTTTTTTAAGATCATCTTTTTTAATATTGATTTTTGAGTTTTAGGTGGACACAATATCTTCATCTTTAGGTGGTGCTGAGGATCAAACCCAGCACCTCATGTGTGCAAGGTGAGCGCTCTACCACTGAGCCACAACCCCAGCCCAGGGGAAGTTCTTCTATTCTGAGTTCTGTTCTTTGTGAAATGTTTGGGCAGGGAGAGAGATTATCCTTTCCTTTAGGAAAGATCAAGATTAATTCTGAATAAAACTTCATAAGCAAAGTCTCTATCATTATAACTAATTTTATTTCTCTGATTTATTTTACTGTAGAATTTCCGTGGTTATTAAAACTGGAAGAGAGATTTTCCTAAAGAAAAGTTTATATGGTAGACCAAAATATTACCCTAGGTTTTCCTATTCTACTAGTGGAATCACAATGGATCAAACCAGAAGTCAGTCACACACAACAGGAAATCAAACACTCTGAACATCCATGAACCAAGGGGGAAACCCGAAGGAAATCTTAAAAATTCACTTATTGAATGAAAATAAGAATATGACACATCAACACAAGTAGGATGCAGCCCCACAGTGCTGAGAGGGAGCCTAACTATCTGCAGAGCCAAATAAACCCAGAGCCAACAGAAAGGAGTAACACGTCAAACAGGCTGTGGCTGAAGGCCCGCAGCAGGGAGGACTCCAAGCTGACCTGTGAAGGTGACCCAGGAGACCCGCACATTCCTCAGGGCTGCAGTGCCCCTCAGTGACAGCAGGGGGCACCCTGCAGCGGCTGGGCAGACTGTCTCTGGAGAAGTCCAAAGATGCGGGGCTCCCAGCAGAGGCCGGGCGTGGGCAGACGAATGAACACTGGTTCTGTACAACGTTTTCCAGAAAACACAAGAGGAAGGGACATTTCCCAAATCATTTTATGAACCTAAGATGACTCTCCATGCTGAAACCACAGAGGGTGCATAACAGGAACTCCCCAGTCTCTGACTCAGATCCCCAAGGCCTCAGGACACCAACCAAGTGTTCACACAAAGAAAAAGCTCAGACACGTCATGACCAAGTGGGTTCCTTCCAAGACGGTTCAACTCTTGAAAAGCAGAAGAGCCCACCATGTCACTCAACAAGGAAGTCACACCACCACACCAGTGGGGCCAAGGAGAGGCCTCTGACAGAGCCCTACGCCATTCACGACGCTCTTGGGAAACCTGTCCACCTTGAGAAAGGGCTTCTACAGCCCACGCCAGCGCCACCCAGCGGGCAAACGGCTGGCTGCCCGGAGGCCGGGAACGCGGAGGCCAGGTCCCAGGCAGCAGTCAGAGCACAGAGGCAGAGAGGCGGGGGGCCAGCCTGCAGCAGGTCCCACAGCTCAAACTGGCTCCCCGCAGAGGGACGCCCCGCTGTTACCAGGCCCAACGAGGCACAGCTGCTCAGACACATGAATGGCAGCACACTGGCCAAGGCCAGGCAGTGTGTGTCCACCCCGGGCCATGCCCTCGCTCCCTCCAGCTGGACTTTCTCTGCTGGTGCTCCTGCTGGGAATCCAGGCACAGCACAACCTGACGCCTCCTGGCCTAGCTCACCCCAGGTGGTGAGCAGGGTTCCACTGGGGATGATGGTGACAACCGAGGCCACACGCCACGTGTGCACACGCGTGTTGCTCACCGTGTGCCCCCACGACCCTGAGGTAGGGACCCCACACTGCCACCATGAGCCAGGGACCCAGCGGAGGACAGTGAGGAAATACTGCTCACGTCCCACAGCCAAGGAGCGATGGAGTCACTGCAGCCTGCGTGGGCCAGTCTGAATGACAGCTCAAACGCTACTGTGGGAAAGGCACGTGGAAGCCATCGTAAAAACAAACGTTGGAGCCAGAAAAGCAAAGTGTGCACAGACATTTACCTGAGGGACATTTACCTGGAGGACGGGGCTGCTCCCGCCTGTATGAGCGCCGGCATGACAGCGATGAACAGCCCCAGCTGCACGTCCTGCATCACCAGCATGCCCAGCAGCAGGGTGCTGTAGTCAACGTCACCTGCTGGAGAAAACAGCACTCCAACACTGGCCGCGACGGCACGCGGCCCCATCGGCACGCAGCCTCAGCACACTTGCACAGCACTTTAAACCAGTTTGTCTGTTGGTTGATACCAAGGCTTGAACTCAAGGCCCTTGACCCGAGCCCTATCCCCAGCCCTTTTGAGTTTTTATTTTGTGACAGGGTCTTGCTAAGTCGCTTGGGGCCTGAGTTGTGCAGGCTGTCCTGAACTTTCGATCCGCCTGCCTCCGCCTCCTTAGCAGCTGGGATTACAGGTGTGCACCACCAGGGCCAGCTTTGGGACAGCTTTGATAACCAAGAACAGGGGGCTCCTGGAAGCCAAGCTCACCAGGGCAGACCTGCACTCCCAGCTACTCTGGGCTGCGGCTGGAGAGCACTGGCGCCCGGAGCTCCAGGCCAGCCTGGGTCCCAGAGCGAGGCACGGACTCCAAAAATGAGATTTTAATACTTAAAACACGTCAGTACTTGATTTCCAAGAGATGTGGTGTCGCGTTTTTTTTTCTTTTCTTTTCTTCTCTTTCCTTTTTCTTTCTTTCTTGTCTTTTTTTTTTGAGACAAGGTTTTGCTGTGTTGCCCAGGCTGGCCTCAAACTCCCGGGCTAGAGCAATCCTCCTGACTCAGCCTCCTGCAAGCAACACCATACTATAAAAACTTTCTGTATGGACAATCACCAGATATTTCCTTTCTATAACTTACTTGTTATTTACATAAATACAGACAAACATCACCACAAAAAGAAGCCTCGGCAAAGATAATGATGGCAGGTGACCCCATGTCTGTGTCCTGGACACACAGGACGCCCGCGCTCTCCCCAGCCTGAGGGCCACGCAGACCTGTGTCTGTGTCCTGGACACACTGGATGCCCGCGCCCTCCCCAGCCTGAGGGCCATGAAGCCCTGTGTCTGTGTCCTGGACACATAGGACACCAGCGCCCTCCCCAGC